CACGGGAGGGGGACAGGCCAGCGGCGCCTCTTCGGGGCGGACGCTCTAGGAGGCGGGGCTCTATGGATTTAACTCTTTCGCGCTGCACCCGGCCAAGGAAGCTCTCCGGGGGGATTTGCGAGCTAAGCCTGGCTGTTTGCTTTCTGAGGGAGGTAGGGTGTGTATGGGTGCGCGCGCGCGTGCGCGCGTGCGCGTGTGTCATAGCGCGTGGTGAGAAATCCACAGCTCTCCCCTAGGACTGCTCACTCCCAGCCGATATTCTGACAGCTCCACGTGGGCCATCCTGCCCAATTCTTCCTATCAGCGGACCTCCTTCTCCGAGCATTGGTCCAGTTCACTTTCGTTTACTGCAGCGCGAGTCCTCTTGCTTTCTTGGCAGCAGAAAGGAAGAGATGCTGCTGTTGCCTCGCTCTGGGATGCCTCTTCTAAAGGGCTTCCTGGGGGTCTCTCATCCAGATGCTGAGCCAAGTCACTATAGCTAGCTTCTGAACCCAGACAAAACCAGCCTGCCAGGCTGTTTGTGTACTGGGAGCTCTTGTGTATTAGGAATTTCCTGTGTCGCTCCTGCTTGTTCTGCTTTGACTTGATAGTGACTAGCTAAGAATTGAACTACAGTAACCTTTGCCTCATTATAATAGTAAAAAACACACCCCTAGGAGTAAACAGCAGATGTTAATGAGCCCTCCATGGCTTATTATGGGGTGCTTAGTTGCAATACGCATGTGCATGATGTAATTTACTCATGGATTTGTTTCAGCCAGTAAGAATCGTGATGAATGTTACCTGCTTAGTGAAATGTATAAAAAGCTTTGGATGACACCCATTTGCAAGCTCGATTTGGGTTCTGATCCTGAGTGTGCCTCTTTGCCTCTGTACAGGAATAAAGTGTGAAAGCCTTCCCTCTACTCTGTGTGTAATCTGGCTCTCTCTCTCACCGCATAAAAATGTGCCCCAATCAGTTGGTCACCCAGCAGCCAAGAATGCTTTCATCTGCTGAGATTTTGCAGATAGAGGCATTAAGAGGGGATCTGTGCCAGGGGAAAAATGAATGGAACTGAGGGGGAAGAGAATGAAAGTGTGTATTTCTCAAAGTTTTCATTTTGACTCTTTTCCCGCCACCCAGAGTTATTGTTATGAGATGGACAGTCACATAAATTATTTAAACACAAAAGATCAGTAAATAAAAGTATTATGATGATGATTTATAAAATTTGTATGCAGCTGACTCTCAAGAACTGTGGGTGGTATTTTAATCACAGGATTTATTAATTAATCACAGGAGAGAGAAGTGTAGGGGCATGCCTTGATAAAATCTGGAGGGTGAAGAATGGGTGTGGGCCTATGAGGGCACTTCTAGAAAAATCCCCTTTTCTTTGCCACCCAAATATTCCCTACTGAATAGATTTTACTGAGTTATGGGGCAGTTCCTCCCCCAAAACTTCTACGGAGGCTGAATATATTCAGCAAGGCGCCATACGGCGCAGAGCAACAACAAATGTTGACCTGTTGATCTATTCAGTTCTGCTCATCCCGGCTGACATCTACCAAGATTTCAGAGAAGAGTCGTTTCTAACCTGCCTGCGATCCCAGAGGTTGAAAAAAGAACTTCAATGTGAAACCAGTGCTTCTTTATAACATTTTAATGTGTCAGTATTTCTAAAAGCCAGCAACAGCCATTGTGCTTGATTCTCACCTGCCTGCTGTTTCACTCCAGTACTAGTAGCATCTCTGGATGTTTTCCACAATCTCTGAGACTGTATGTTGCCTGCCCTCTAGGATGTCCCTCCTGGATAGATTTTTATGTGTTTATAAAGCATGGAAGAACTACAGAATCTTTTTTCACACAGTGAGCATCCGTATGGTTTCTCCCTGGTATGAATCTGCCTATGAACCACCAGGTTGGATTTCTTATGGAAGCTTATCCCACAACAGGAGTGCTTATGGGGCTTCTCACCCATGTGAATTCTCTTGAGCTTCACGAGGTTTGTTTTCCAATCAAAACGTTTCCCGCACTCTGTGCGTATATACTTTTTTCTTGCCGACAGAGTGCTCCCCTTTTGAATAACAGAGGGTTTGCTGTTATTTTTCTCATATTTATGCAATTTATCCTTTGCTTGCACATGTGGAGTATCTGGAACACTGATGGTTGGACATCATCTCTGGCTCCTCTTAATTCCACCCTTTTTGCCACAGTGAAAATTGGCTTCATTTAAGTTTTGATCACCTTCAGGCAGGAAAGCTTCACTGGCTTTCTTTTGTGAATGCCTTTGTGCTCCCTTGGATTTACTGGTTTACTTTTAATCCTGGAACCCCAGAAAAATTATCTTTTGATTTATTCCAAACTCTTGCAAGTGTTTATTTCTTCAGATCTTCCCACCTGGAAGGTCTTCTCCTTATGGATTGGCCCATGTCCATTGTATTCTGAGAGAAACAGAAAAGAATTTGTCACATTGCCCCCCAACAATAAATTCAAAAACTTCTTGTAGAAATTCTAGTGGAGGGTCTCCTCAAGTGTTCCCTCTTCCATTTGACTCAGTCTCTTAAACGCCATCTCTTCATTCCCCCCACTCCCCAGTTGACCTAGAAAATCCCAAATTCAAGCATCCTCATTTGATGGCTTTCCAGCATCTCCCTGAATACTCCAGTTGATGAGTCTAGGACCACATCAACAAGAAGACTCTTTTCGGGGGCAACAGAAAATAGTTCACATATCACCAAGCCACAGATTTACTTAAAACATTTTATAATTAAACACAACTAATTGACGTTTTACAAACCATCATTGCTGGGTCCATGCAACATACTAAGCCGAACAAATCACATTACAGTTAAGCTCAACCTTCCCTAGATGTCCACACTTCAGCTCCAAGAATCCTTCATTCCTGATCAATCTGTAGAATTGGACAGATAAAGCAATGGTCCAGAAATGTGGCATTGATCCCCTTCGTTATGACAAGGCAGAAACTAGATCTGTTGATTTGTTGAGGATGGCTGAATTTGGAATCCCACCCTGAACAAGGGTTTGGATTTGCTGACCTCCTCCAAATGTAGGATTCTCTAATCTGTATCACTAAGTTACAGATCTCATCATGGAGAAAATCTATCTATCTGGTCACTAATAATCAATATTGACTTGATGGAGCATAAATCCAACATGTAATGGGTCCACCTGGCAGAAGCTGGGAAGATAGGTGACAGCTAGCCCAATATTACATGCTCAACTTACAGCAGATCTCTAGCTTTTCTAACAGTCACGTCTTTCCCATTCTCTGCAACCTAATCCTTTCAAGCAAAGATTCTGTGAACCAAAAATCCTCTGATGGAAACTGGGACCATCTCCTTCCCCAGAAAATGCCATTTGGCTTGGTGGACCATCAGATGTCAAGGATTGCGCCACCAACTCCTTCTACAAGATGCTGCCACTTCCCTGGGTTTCAAAAAGAGTGCAGAGAACCATCTTGGCTTAAAGCACCCCAGAAATGTTTGCAATTATTGACATTCTGCATCCTTACCTAGTTAGTTAGCTTCCCCATCATTCTCTTGCTTTATCTCCAGAGGAAACTTCATCCTCACAATGTCCAAGGCCTCTTCCTCCAATTTCGGAGATTTTAGCATCGTATCCGTTGGAATGCCTGAAAAAAAGAAAAAGGAAAGTTGGTTCAACTCAAAGTCCTGGAAGACTTATGCACCAGGCTGCTCTCCATTCCCTCCAAGAGGAATAACCCTCAAAGTAGTTGGGGCAGATGGGATCCAGTTTGGAGATTTAATGCACAGAAATCACTTTTCCCAAGCCAATTCTGAATTCCCTTCAGGCAGCTATGTCCAAATGGTTGGCAGCTCTAGATTCTTTTGGGCCACAATTCTGAACTCAGATGTAGATGAACTGGCAGAGAGGTACAGAAAACCGTTGGCTGCAACTCTGAAGCATAGCGACCAAAAGGCTCTCCCCCACTCCCCCAGACATGCTGGTAAGAAAACGGACTTTGTGCAGTTCCAGTCAGGATAAAATCACCACAACTGAAACATCTCCTGGGTCTGGCAGGGGCAAATCTTATGCAGCTGCCTCCTAGAAGCCTTTTCAGGTTTGTTGATTACACCCACTCCTCATTCCATTCCAAGGACCAAGTCGTTAAGCGAAATGGTTGCTAGGTGAGAATCACAGTAGCCTAGACGTGACCGTAACTGTGTTTGTGACTTTACTTCAGCCTTTCAAACTCAATTTCTGTTATCTTTCCTGAAGTGGACATGGTTAATAACATTTCGTACTTTCTACCTCAGAGCTCTTTGATTCTAACATAGTTTTGCCATTAGAATATACCCTGTAACCTGAGGACTACCTGTATTATGTAAGTACAAAATTAGGTATAATTGTATTGCACTACAAAATAAAAGAGTACAGGTAGAGAATTATTGGGCCCAGCAACAAGGTAAATGAAACTGCAACTGTGCTTATCGTTTTACAGGTAGTCCTCATTTAGTGAGTGCCTCATTTAGCAACCATTCGCAGTTATCACAGTGATGAAGAAGTAACTTTAAAATCAATCCTTGTGTTTACAACTTTGCAGTTCTATAAAGCAAAGTTGAAGCAGGATCCTAAGCACAGTATCTGTACTTCAGATTCCTTTGCTTTGCAGACCTGTGAAGGTCGTAAATATGAGGATTGGTTGTAAAGTTGCTTTCTCGTCACCTTTGTAACTGCGCTTGTGACATGAGGCAGCTGTTAAATGAGGACCACTTGTACAAAATCAGATTTTACAGTTACAGTACCTGTAAACATCAAATTCGATATAAATCCTTTGAAAGGTTCATTTTTTTGTGTGTTTTCAGAAACTTCAGATACACTGGCATAGCTGGTTGACGGCTGAGAATCATTTCGGTGTTTTATTCCAGTGGATGGGGAGGGAAATAGGGAGGGAAATGGAGTTGGAGATTTTTTTCTTTTTTTCTTTTTTCCTTCATATATTTCACGATAACACTTTAAGATTTCATGCATTTCCCAATGTACCGTTCTAAAACGTTCTACATTTGGATCCATACTTTCTAATTCTGATAAAATTTTGTTAACGCATGAGAAAACACCAGCCAATCTTTTCGCACTGAATATTTTGGGCTTAACTTCTACATTTTTTTTTCCTTCTTTTTCTTGTTCTTTTCCTTCTTCTTCCAGTAGCCGTTGTGCTTCCAATTCTTCTTTCAGTTCAATTAAATCTTCGTTTGAAAGCTCTCCCTCAGTGTAGGATACCAAATTTCTCACATCTTCAGCATCAACCTCTAAATCAAGGGATTTCATTAGTGTCAAAGTTTTCTTATTTATTTCGTCCACATTTTCATTGTGGTCAAATCCTTCAAAATCATTTACAACAGCAAAAGGTTTCAAACACTTTTTCCAAATCCCTTGCATGCACTTCACACTAACATTCTGCCATGCAGCTGCAATGTTTTCAATAGCATGGAGGATATTGTAGCCTTTCCAAAACTCGCGCAAGCTTATCCTATCATCCTCCATTGCGGCTATTGCTTTGGCAAATATTGCATGCAAATAGCATGCCTTGAATGCTGAGATAGCTCCCTGGTCCATAGGCTGGAGGAGAGGGGTGGTGTTTTT